TTTCTTTCTTTCTTTCTTTCTTTCTTTCTTTCTTTCTTTCTTTCTTTCTTTCTTTCTTTCTTGGTACCGGGAATTGAACTCAGGACCCTGCACTTGCCAGGCAAGCGCTTATTCTACTGAGCTATCCCTCCAGCCCCTGTAGCAAGATCTTGCCTCACAAAACAAGCAATAATAACAACAACAAACCCAGGGCTACCCCGAGTCCAGCCATAGCTCAGTGGTGCTTACTTGTGTTTAGCATGTGAGACCCTGGGTTCCATCCCCAGCGAGCCTGGCCAATCTGCACTGCATGGTCAGGCCCTGTTGCCTGACCAAACAGACAAACGCAGCCAACTAAACAAACCAAGAAGAAAAGACTCTGGGTGCTGCCTCAACTCTTCTGCTTATGTGACATTGGCCAGCACCTTGTCAGCACAGCCCCCAACTGTGAGGAGGGCTGGAAAGCGCAGTCTCTGTTCTGAATGGCCATATGTCAGCCATATGTTCAGCCAGAACCAGGGCTGTGTCACCTCAGAGGAAGGGGAGTGTGGATACTGGGGCAGGGATGTTGGCGGAGATCCAGTCTGGACACAGCTCCCTTTTCTCGGGGCTCTAGGGCCTCCAGCTTCCCTACATGCATGATTCACTCCTCTCCAGCTTGCCTATTCCAGGGTCCAGTCCTGCCCCCCACTCATGTCACGTCCCTACTGCAAACACATAAAAGGATGCCTACCAGCACTGGCCACCTGGGACATTAAAGTTAAAGCCACAAGATACAGTTACACACCCACTGGAATGGCTGAAAAGCAGACAGTGAACAATGAATGTGGCAATACCAAGTGTCACCAGTCCGCAAGGCTTCCCTCAGACACCCACACCAGGCTGCTTCCTTTCTCTCTGACATAGTCACGTCTGACAGGACTTGGTCCCAGCCACAGCTCTCTCCCCAGGGCCTGACACATGGGAGACGTTCAGGAATGGATGAGAACCTTGCTAGGCTCACGTAAGTTTCCCTCCTCCTGGAAGCTCCCAGTGTCCAGCCTTCTCTGGGCTTTTTTTCCTCTTGTATCTTTTCCTGTGTGCCAGTGATGCACTCGCATACACACACGTCCTCAAGGGCAGGGTCTGGGCCTTTGTCTCTGCTGGCATCGGGCACAATGTGAAGGGTGCCGGATGTCCAGGAAGCACTTGCTTCTGGCTTCTTGGGAGAGAGTGACAGGCAAGCCTTGGTGTAGGAGAGAAAAAGAATCACCTTTTCCTCACTTACCCATGGGTTCATGGCTGAATCCTCCACCACAAAAGACAGCTCTGCAATTTATTTAATATGAGCTTTATGTGGCATGGAGCCTTCAGAAACAAGGCTGCAGAGAGACAGTAGAACTGTCTATGTTCATGCTCAGGTCTCATGAGTGGTGGACTGTCATGAAGAAGTATGATTCAAGGAACAAGAGCTAATGGCAATGCACAGGCGGGGGGCTATTAGTCCCAACTCCTGGCATCCTTCCATCCTTCCCTCTGGGTGGAGGGCAGGACATCCACCTCAGAAGAGTCTTCAAGGAGGAGGGAGAGAAGTCTGGAGAGTGATTATGATTGCTAAACTTTTTTTTTTAAATTGTATTTTAGGGAAGGGCCTACAGGATGTTCAGGGTCTCACTACTAGATCAGACTCGTAGTGATCTGCCTGTTTACAGCCTCCCAAGAGCTGGGATTATACACGCACGCCACCACATCCAGTCTCAATTGCCATCTCAGCATGCCCCAGGGATGGGGCCAGCATAGCAGGCCCAGGATCAAACCCCTGGCCCCTGTGCCTGCTTGCAGGTGCTTTAATCCACTGAGCTATTTGGCCTGCCCAGGATTGCTGATCTTGATATGTCAAATTCACTGAAGAAATGCTTAGCAGATTAGTAAAGCACCTTCCTGGTGTGTCCGGAGGTGGCCACAGAGGTGTGATTTGGGGTGCTAAATATGGCTCCCTGCTAGTTCCTCTCTGGCCTGTTCCCCTGCTCTGCTTTCTGGCCACCGTGCACTAAGGAGACCTGTTTTGCTGCGCCCTTTCAGCATGATGTTCCTGTGTTGTAGACACCCAACCACTGACTGGATTCCATGAAACTGAGCCTAATAAAACCTCTCTTCCTTTAAGCTGTAGATGTTAGGTGTGTCCCAGCCACAAGAAAGGAGACTAATATAGAAAATCTGTCCCTTTGGATAGGGAAAAAAAGAAAGATGGTGTCTTAGTTAATTTTTTCATTCCTGGAACAAAATACCTGACACTCACAAGAAAGATAACTAATATAAAAAGTTGGTACCAGGAGTGGGGTCTTCGCTGAGACTATACCTGATCATGTGATTTAGAAGCCTTTAAAGTTGGTTTGCTGAAGGAGTTGGGAAAGATCTGGAGATGCAGGTTGGAGAAGCCTTAGAATGCAACAAGCAGAACCTGGCAGAAAGGCCAATAGAAGTGCAGACTGTAAAAGGCAGGCTTAGGAGGCTTCAGTTAGGAACAAACACCCCACTGACAATTTGCCTATAGGCTGTATATATTATTCTCTAGCAAAAGTTTATTTACATGTCCTTAGACTTCATAGGAGACTGAGAATAAAGGGAGTGGATTGATTAATCTGGCAGAAAAATATGAAGACAGCTCAACATTCAGGCTATAGTATGGGTACTACTGGCTGCTTCTAGACAGATTTGTACTGAAAGTGGGGCAGAGGGCAAAGGCAGAGAAGAAAAATTTGAAAAACTTAAATTTTGACCCAGAATGAACCAAATGTGAGGTTGGGACCAAGGAAGAGTGGCTGCTAAAGAGATTAGTGCCCTGATTTTTTTTTTTTTTTTTTGGGTGCGGAACTAGGGATTGAACTCAGGACCCTGCGCTTACCAGGCAAGCTCTTTTTTTACTGAGCTATCTCCCTGGCCCCAGAGATTAGTGCCCTTAAAAAAAACCAAGTACTTTGTCAAGGGAAAAGAAGAAAGATGGGCAGTGCCACACAGGCACAGGGTGAGGCTTCCGTTAAGCACACCCTTCATCTTGTGTCACATATCCTAATGTACATTCACACACTCATGATTCAGCCACTTCCAAAAACCCTACCCATGAAAACAGGAGGCTTTGGGGGACCTCTAGGCGTAAGCCATAAGCTGTGGCGTAAGGACATTGCAGAAATCAGCAAGACTGGCTCCACCTACCATAGGTTTAAGGGTATAAAAGTATATACCTTTCCCTTTTTTTGCTTGTTTTGTTTTGTTTTTTGTTTTTTGCAGAACTAGGGATTGAACTCAGGCCCTTATTCTACTGAGCCATCTCCTTGGCCCAAAGTGGTTTTTTTTTTTGTTTGTTTTTTGTTTTTTGTTTTGTTTTGTTTTGTTTTTCTTTCCTTTGAGAAGAAAGTCCCTGAGTCCCTTGCTCAAGAAGATTCTCAGGCTGGGGAGATGGCTCAATAGAATAAGTGTTTGCCTGGCAAATGCAAGAGCCTGAGTTCAATCCTCAGTTCCACACACACACACACACACACAAAAATAAAAAAAAAAAAAAAAAAAAAAAAAAAGTTCTCCTAGGGCATGAGTTCCACAGAATCTATATTACTGTGCTTAGCCAAAAAGCACACAAAGCCTCTACAGCCATGGTCTAATGGGTCCTTATTACTATTCTCATTGACAGTAGACCTCAGCATCATCCACATAATACTGGGATGCAAGATACAAGAGTTGTGGGGTCAGAGAAGCTTCTACCAAGATTTCACAAGAAGGCATGGAAGTCCAGGCAGGCAACTCCTGAGAGCTCAATGCATGGAGTTGTGAGGATGAAGTCAAAGGAGACCCCCAGGATATCACAGATGCCAGGAACATAGAATGTCTACTGAGGGAAGCTCCAGGTAGTGAGCGGAACCAACAAAGAGTGAGTGAGAGAGAGACAGACAGACAGACACAGACAGACAGACACAGAGAGACAGAGACAGGGAGACAGAGAGACAGACAGAGAGACAGAGAGACAAACAGAGAGAAAGACCATGTGGGTTACAATCAACAGGGTCACAGAGGTGGGGCTGCCGAAGCCTTTTGGAACTCATATTTTATCGTCATGTACCCCACAAGGCAGATATGATGGAGCTGTAGGAATTAATGTTTGTCCTGCTAAGTTTCAGTCTGCCTTTTGTCCTATCCTTTTTTTAGTGTCCATTTCTCCAATTGGGAATGGGAACACATACTCTGTGCCATGGCATCTT